TTATCAATGTATTCAAGACTAATTTGTTTTGCCTGGAGAAAAGAAGGCTATACTTGGTGGGGGGCTTTGTTTACCTGTGATCTCTAACATTACATTACCTTTCTTAAATGGGGAATTCAAACTCTGGATCTTGGGATTCATAAATGGGGGATTCAGATCATCCAAAACCCTCTTGAAGTCAATAAAAATTTTAAAGAATCTGTGACCCATTTTTAAAGTCATTTTTTTGTTTTTTCATATGAAATAGAAGATAGAATTAAGAATCATTTTCAGTTTCCCCTAAGACTGTAATTCAATAAGTCACCTTTAAAAAATTTTTAGTACATATCCATCAGAGATCTTATCAGCAGTGAAGCACTGACTCCACTAATAACTGGAGAGTAAACCTTTTATGTAATAAAAAAGCCATAGTTCTTACAAGCTACACATTATATAACCAAGGTAATATCAAAATATATTATGAGTTCCCTTCCACTGTAAATACTTTGATTTTTAAAACTTACTCATTCAAATCTCTATGTTTTGATTGATTTTTAGTATTTCCTCATATCTATGACATTCTGCAAATTAAATGACACGTTTGAAAGGGTTTTTCTGTTTTATACTAATATTGGTATACTTCATGAACATGAGAATTCATCATTTCTGGGAAATTCTTACCCATTATCTATTCAAGTGTTGCCTCTCCCCTTTCTAATGTTTTCTTTTCCCGGAACTCTTACCTTCTAGCTCCATTACTCTTAATGATGTTCATAATTTCTATTTTTTATATCTCTGCATTTTGGGTATTATTCATCAACTATGGTCTGTCTGGTCTACATTTAACCCTTCCACTGAACTTTTTAAGACTTGTATTTTTTACTTACAGAGTTCTATTTGTTTTTTTCTTCTTCTTTCTTTAAAAATGTCTTGTTTTTTTCCTTAGGGTTTGATTTCTTCATTTATATTGTCAACATTTATATGTACATTTTAAATATTCTTTTTCATGTTGTTTTATTATCTCAAGTTTTTAAAAGTCCACTCACTACTGCATGTCATGTGTCAACTCTCACTCATGGATTGTATCATCCACTGACTCTCACTCTTGGTCGATCATTTCCTTGTGTATTTTGTCATTCACTGTAGCTAGCACATCTTTCGCCAAACTTGCTTTCTTCCTGAAAATCCTAGGCAATCTAGATGCTTGGTACTATTCTTTCATAATGATTTTGTGTTTTACTCTCGTAGGAGCCCCAGGGGTATTTTCCAGGTTGAGAATTTCTAGGCTAGTTGGATAGAGTATAAAAGCAAAAACAAAAAAAAACCAAAATTGAAATTCTCAAGGGGGAGATTTCTCTTCATCTTACTAATAAAGTTTCCTGTTTTCACTCTATGTTAGTGGGCATATATTTCTAGCCTACATATTTATTTAATGGTTTTATGCAGGGCACAGGGATATCTCAGTTTCAGCTCTCTACCTCATCTGGCACCAAGAGTTTACCTTCTTCCTGTCTCATATGGACATTAGAAACCAGGCTTCTTGGTCACCAAGACCCATATCTCCTATGGTAGCCACATCATCACTTCACAATCTATACTCACTTTTAACATCTTTGTTCTTGGCACATGGTAGATTGCCCTTCTATTTTTCCCAAAGTTGGGTAGTATTTTAAAACTATTCAAAAGTCTAATCATCCAGTACTGCTAGGTGTTTGTAACCATAAATCTTTCAGATTGTCTCAGTCAACTGCATTGCCAGTGCTTTAAAGTTTACTGTTTCATTATTCATAATTAATCATTTACTCCTTCCCAAGCAGAAAGTTTAGTTGGACTGTGTCTTCAGATCCTGAAATTTTAGAAATGCTTAACTTTTTTTAATGTCTGGGATTCTTCCCCAAATCCAGAAGTGATGAACTGTAGATATATCTTTAAAGTTCTAACTGAATAAAGGAAATCTGAAATGCCTCCTGGGACCTTGGCAGAACACGGGCCTTTCTTGCTAATCACCATTACAAATTGATCGAGTGTATTAATTGATTTCCTATTGAAAGTTGAAAAAAAAGAAAATCTGAGTCATTTTCTTCTAAACGCCATTTTAATTTGTTACCACTTTTACTATTTAAGGCTTTATAATACATAATTGCTCACAAATGAGATAATTTACCATAATTTTCAGAAGTATAATCCCCTTAAATATATGCAAAAATCTTACTAAATAAGAAAACTATGCAACAGAAATTTTTGGAAAGAGTCACAGAATTTATTCCACAGAAATGACAACTTACAAAGACTTGAGATCTTATAAGTGAAAATCTCAATGATTTGAGAAAATGGCAATATTCATATCTAAAATGTACTAGTGATTGCCACTTTCAAAAATATACCTCCCACTTAAAAAAAAAGAAATTGTATAAATCACAAGTCAAAAGCATATGAAAGAGTTGATTTCTACTCTACCAGAGAAAGTAAGTTTCTTTAGCTCTTTCTCATACATCATATGTATGAAATACTTTTGTTTATTGGTTAAAATTTTTCCATTAGTCGATTATTGAACTGGAAAAAATTAAAACCTTGTCAGGGAAAACAGTGGATGAAAAATAACTCTAGAATCTTTTGGAAATAATAGATTCATATAAAATCAAACTCAAATTCTAGAGCATGGCTCACTCTTACATGTATTACAGTACTTTTACATGACACAGAGGGTGGATGTTATGAATTGAAGCACATTAAAACATTGCTGTTTATCACTCTGCTACTCAGTTCTATTTATTAAGAATAGTCCAGGATTCTCAAACTAAGAGAGAAAAATACATATTCATAAAATAGCACATGTGAATATGTATTTTGCCCAGGACAGCCTGGGCAGCACAGTGAGAACCTGTAGCTAAAAAACATAATAACAATAAACAGACAAATTAGGCAGTAAGCCACATTTGAAGAAAGCATTGGGGAAAGTTTTCAGGACAACTTGGAAATATTGCTTTCTTTAATCTGTCTCACTACTGATATATAACCACAAGTTTTTTAATCAAATGTTTTCTGACAGACACAGTGACAAGTGATTATAGAGATTATAGAATGAAAAAAAATGTTTTGTTCATGGTACAGTCTAATTTTTAAAAAGCAGTATAAATTTTTAGTCACTTAGTTTAGTCGGGAGGTAATGGTGCCAAACCTATAACCCTCAGACATAGGATATCTCAAGTTTAAGTCAATAAAAATTCCAACTGTACCTTAAACTTACACTTTCAAAGCAAGCTTTTAAATACCAGCATTTCCGAATATCCAGGATTAATTTATTTTTCTTTCTATTCTTATTTTTTCTCGTCATATATCACCTTGTTATTCAGAGGGTGGTCCACGGATGAGCAACCTTGTCATCATCTAAGGGACTGTCGAGAATGCAGAACGCTGGGCTGCACCTAGGACTGCCTTCTCAAAACTTGCATTCTAACAAGATTTCCAGAGGCTCTGTATGCCACCCATTAAAGTTGGAAGTGTGTACTATGAGATGTAAAAATATCTTCTAATTTAGCACATCAAGGATAAGATTTCTTGGTTGATGAAATTGTCCTGGAATTAAATATTGGTGATGGCTGTACAACTTTATGGATATACTAATAATGTATTGTACAACTTAAATGGGGGAATTATATGATATGGGAATTATGTCTTGACCTTTTAAAAAGAAAAATACATTAAAAATTGTAAATGCTCTTAACTTGCACAGCACACAGATTAATGAAACCAGTTCTAACTATTTTCTTTTATCTTTGAGAAAAGTTAGATATTCTCTTTACTGGAACTCACCTCTTTAAGGTGCTCTTTTAGATTGCTGCTTAGACGCAGCGATCCTTTACTGGGGCGCACCTCTTACTTAGAAAGGGCACCGCAGCAGGCTTTGAGGCAGGCAGCCCTGACACACCACCCATCTATTAGGAGGGTCTCCCAGGCTCCTAGAGGGAGGAATCCTCCCTCCAACTTAAGCTGTTTATAGAGCTGAGAACCTGGAGAAACCGCTTGCGGGCAGATGTGACAAGTCAGGAAACGTAACTAACCAATCACCCAAAAGGGCAAGGGCAGAACTGCTATCTGCCCGCTGCACATGTGGTCACAGTGGTGTGGGGGAAGCCGAGTCTTTTCTGGAGTCCACTCTGCTTACTTCCTACCTCTCCTCCCTCCACCCACCCCGCTAGAAAAACTACCCTAGATTCACAAATAAACCTTGTAGTTACCCACAGGCCAATACAAACGACCCCGACACCCTCACTTTTACAGCCCAGGAGTCTCCTGGTCCACTCCCCTAACAGGCTCGTCTCCCCCGACGCCCGCCCCTGGTAAAAACCTTCGTGCAGCCAGTGGGGAGGCCTACTGATTCTATTTCTGTCTTCACCCCAAGGCCCCAGGACCGAGGAGAGAATATCCTGGGGAACATGTCCACCCCCTTCCAAGCACGCCTTCTAACTTCGGCTGTCCGGCGGTCCAAGGACCTCTGTGCTCAGTCTGAAGCGCTAAGCCAGGCGTGGAGACTGCCAGACGCGTGAGTTCCAGAGTTACCCACACGCACCCAGGCGGCTCCAACCCTTGGAGTTGTAGTCATCTCTCCCACAGAGGCTAAGAGTCACCAGGGCGCACATCTGAATCAGCCCCCTGTTCCTATCATGCCTGTTATGCAGCGATCCAGTCTCTTCGGGAGCACAGGATCAAGGGGTCTGAAGAAATCGACCAGCTCTCTCAACACCTACAACGGTGTTGGCACTCCGCGGTCTCACTTTCGTGGGCAAACATATCCATGGGTGCTCACCAGGAGCAAACCTAGACACACACACCCCCACTCCCCGCGCGCCCCTCCACTCACTCGAGTCCCAGCCCTGGCTCTCACAGACCTCCCAGGACCGTTCTAGGAGGTACACACGCGGGTTCAGAACGCGCGCGGACCGGGCTCGGCCACTCACGCGAGCGCACAGCCTCCCTCCGCGCAGCCCGCGCCCCGACCCGCCCGCGCCACTGGCACTCACAAGCAGGGGTAGTAGCCGTAAGAAGGCAGCGGGGCGTGCGGGCAGCCGTCCTCTCCCAGCTCCGAGTCCATGAGCAGATAGTCCTGGCTCTCGTTGCGCCGCGCACCGGCTCGGATTGTGCCCCGGGGAGAACTGCCCCTCCGGGGACCGAACTCCGGGCTCTGGCTCATGACAGGAACGCCCGACTGGCCTGAGTCCCACTCCCGGGGGAAGCGAGTGGACAGTTTCAACAGGGACCCGGTACGAAGGGCCCGCGTCAGCGGCCGAACCGGTCCTGGGCAGACCGCTGCCCAGGGGACGGCGATGAAGCAGGGGTGCAGATGCCCGCCGCCTGTGGCTCGCCCGCTGGCCCAGGAAGAAGTCACCACTTAAGGGGGTGCAAAGGGGACCCTGACCTGAGAGGCTCAGGTCGAGGAGACCCCCGCGAGGATGCGTCCGGGGCTCCAGGGCAGAGAGAGCACAGGCGGGGCCGCTGGTGGCAGCAAAGCCTGAGAGCCGAGAGCAAGGGAGACGGAGCTGAAGAGTTACTATGTCAACCGAGACTCCAGCCCTCAGCTCCCGCCTTCTTCCCCCGCATTCTCTGTCAAGATCCCCACCTTTAAAAGGATCAGAGCGACGTTCTAGAAAGCACCCAAAGCATGTCCTGTAGCCACAACTTTTCAGGAGGCGGTATGAATGTGAATGAGGAGGAGCTAGGCACACGCTTTTTTTCCCCCTCTACTATTTAGTCGGCTTATTTAGTAGAGACCCAACTGCGCACTTTCTAGGAAGATTCTTTTAAGAACCACTCTGGAAGAGCCAAGGAAACCTGTTCCTTAAAAGGGATACGAGCCTCTTCTTTCTCCGGACTGCCTTCATTTTCTACGGGCATTTTCTCTCTTACTCTCAACTCCTAAAGTTATTTTGACTCTTTGCTTTAAAAACGAACAACGTTCTGTGTTCCCAAAGCCAGATGTTCCCAGTTTCTGAGGAAACCAACAAAAATAGGCAAGCATTTTCCGATGATAACGATAAAGAAGCCAACAACCTGCTTACTTCAGAGAAAAAAATTTCCTTCCATCACTGCGAGTGCCAGAATTATTTTTCTGCCAGATGTTTCCCACATTTCCACACTTTTTATTTTTAAGACTTAGTTTTCAATTCTGATAAATATGCATACATGTGAGAAGTAAAAACTTGTCAACAAGGATGAATCAGTATTTGTAGACCTTTACACAGTAGTAGCCAATTAAGAATCCATTCATTCAGTCAACAAATATTTAATGAATGCCAACTGCGTTTCAAATTATTACAGAATTCAGAGGCAAACAAGCAGATGAGGCACCTGTCTGCCCTCATAGAGCTTTTATGGCAGAGAGGGGAATCGATTAAATAAGCAAATGAAAAAATATCGAAGACAAATGTTACAATGAAAATAAAACAGGTTGATGTGATGGCAGCTGGTGACTGACTACTTCAGATGAGATGGTTAAAAGAGGCCTGTCCAAGGAGGTGCTTATTAAGTTGAGACATGAGTGGCAAGCGGCCAGCCATGAAAAGATCAGAGAGGCCCGTTGCAATTGGATGGAAGAAAGACAGACTGAAATCTGTCTGCAAAGGTGCCTATACTTCCCACGAACAGGTGGACCACAAAATGAAAGTTGGAAGGGTGAGCAAAAGCAATCAATTTGATAAAGGGCAAAAGAGGTCACACGTTTAGAAACTTCTGAGTTTGCCTTTAAATTTAGAACAGAAACTCAGAGCAGAAACCATTTTATCCCAAGGATCCAGCTTTGTATTTGTCACAGGTATGCAGGATGCATGCATGTTTATACACGTGCTTGCATGCATGGATGCCTGGATGGATGGAATATAGAAAAAATAAAAAAAAATGTTCTTGGCACCTGAAAGAACATTTTCCCTGGGCAAGCAAACAACCCTGGATCGTTCTGAAGTCTGTTCTTTCTGATTTAAAAGCCTTCCTCTCTTGATCTCTCAACATGTAGAGCCATGATTTAAAATTCTGAAAATTTTCTAGTTATCATATCTAGCAATAAGATATTCTGCCTGAAGTTTGTGGCAACTGCTATCTGTACGTATACATTAGCTTTGATGTTTGAATGAATTAGTCAATAAATATTTAGTTAAACTGCCAAACTCATCTCTTTGTCAACACCAAGTATGGGAAAACATTCATGGGAAAAGTAGTATCAGTTTTCCACCCAACTCAAATTCTGTGAGTTAAAGCCAAGCTAGAAAACACTTGTATTGTCAGTTGAAGTGTTAATCTTTCATGTAAATAATATTGAGACATAATTTATTTTGCTGTTGTTACAATTAGTTGAGCTGTTTGTGCCTTTTCTCCTAATACTTTTTTTTCATTTACAGGTAACAACCTTCATACTGAAAAAATTACTACAGTAAACTTTTATTCTGAAATCAATTTATCATTTGCTAAGGGACAAGTTTTTCTCTAGTTGTTTTGCTTGTTTGTTTGGTTTGGTTTGGTTTGGTTTGAAATATAGTGAGTACTAGACCAACAATCCCAGGGGCATTTACTGAGTACACAGAAGGAATAAGATGGTGTACAAATGTCAGAAAATTCTGAAAGCGCTTATGACATAAGTGGGATCGTTAGATCAGAAATCTCAAAGCCTGGATTTTCATTTAGGCCATTTCCCTAACTGAACTAGCATGATTTCAGAGAGGTCATTAAATCTCTCTCTGCTTCGGTTTATTCATCAGTAAGCTGGTATACAATTATGCCTCAATCTCTAACTTCCCTCATTAAATAGTTATCCATGCAGTTTTATCACTTTAAAATCATGGTGAAATCAATTTAAAAAAAGACAAATCATGATCGAATAATATATTTTTGCAGCTAATATGGAAGTATTAAGTAGATCTAGAGTCATGAAGAAGGCTGAGTGAACAAAGAAATAATAGTTTTTAACGTTAAAAATTGTTGGGTGAGAGCAGGACTGAGTTCTTAGAGAGTTGGAAATTGCTATGCAATTGCAGGTTATGTGTGTTTATGTAGTATCTTTGTGCTACTGAAATAAAATGAACACTCAGTAATTAATTCTGAGATAGGAGAATGAAGGTGAGCTATGTGTCTCTGGGCAGAGGAAGAGATGTTAATGAGAGAGGACCTCTGCCTCATTATACATATCTGCACTGTTTGATTAATAGATTGATTTTACAAAAACTGATATTTTATATGTATGTGTGTCTAAAATACATATAACATATATGTATTTATATGTGTGCATGTGTATATGTGCTGTATACACATAATATACATATAATAACAGTGTTCTGAAAAGCTGATGGGAGAAAAATGAGTAAAGAAAAAGAGTTGTCCTCTAGAGCAGTGATCCCCAACTTTTTTGGCACCAGGGACTGGCTTTGTGGAAGATAATTTTTCCACAGACCTGTGGGGTGGGATGGATGGTTTTGGGATTTTTTAAGTGCATTAAACTTATTGTACACTTTATTTCTATTATAATTAAATTTTAATATATAAGAAAATAATTCTACAACTCACTATAATGTAGAATTGACAGGATCCCTGAGCCCATTTTCCTACCACTAGATGGTCCCATCTGTGGGTGAGGAGAGACACTGACAGATCATCAGGCATTATATTCTCATAAGGAGCACACAACCTAGATTCCTCACATGTGCAGTTCACAATAAGGTTCACTCTTTTAGGAGAATCTAATGCCCCCACTGACCTCACAGTAGGTAGAGGCTCAGGCTATAATGCAAGTGATGGGGAAAAGTGTAAATACACGTGAAGCTTCGCTGGCTTGCCTACTGCTCACTTCCTGCTGTGTGGCCCAGTTACTAATAGGATGGGTAGCAGTCCATGACCTGGGAGTTGGGGACCCCTGCTCTTGGAAATCTCAGGCAAGAACCCCAAAGGGAAAGGAAAAGAAATTGCCACTAGGAGCAAAAAGTTGAGAAAACATTAAATGCTTAATGACTCAAGAAGCTCAAAAGTTACACAAAGCTGCAGTTTGTGAGTTGCTGTTGCTGATGGGAAACAACTAGCATAGGAGTCTCTCTGGGAAATCCAGTTTGGAGTTGGTTGACCAGAAGCACAAATAAAAGTTTAGTCATTATGTCATCTGGATATTTTAAAGCGTAAGCCCTGACTCCTACCACATGTTAAAACAGAAACACCGGCCGGGCGCGGTGGCTCAAGCCTGTAATCCCAGCACTTTGGGAGGCCGAGGCGGGTGAATCACGAGGTCGAGAGATCAAGACCATCCTGGTCAACATGGTGAAACCCCGTCTCTACTAAAAATACAAAAAATTAGCTGGGCATGGTGGCGTATGCCTGTAATCCCAGCTACTCAGGAGGCTGAGGCAGGAGAATTGCCTGAACCCAGGAGGCGGAGGTTGTGGTGAGCCGAGATCGCGCCATTGCACTCCAGCCTGGGTAACAAGAGCGAAACTCTGTCTCAAAAAAAAAAAAAAAAAAAAAAAAAAAAAAAAAAAAAAAAAAAAAAAAAAAAACAGAAACACCTCAGAAGCTGCACAGGGGCTGATTCTCTATGAATGAAAGTGCTCTGCAAACTCCAGTTTGAGGCAAATTTGAGCAGGTGCTACTATATCTTTGAACCTCAATTTCTTAATTTTTAAAATAAAGAGGTTATGATAATTTATATTTAGTATCTCGCTAGCAGCTAAAATGTTATGTTATTAACCATGAGAAACAAATAGAAGACTCTATGGATTGCTAATTTCATTTTTGCTCTAATTTGAGCTTGACATAGATCTTGTCCAAAATTCTAACACTATCATAGACTTATTTAATAAGCATTTGTGATTAATAAGGTTTCACTTAGAGAAAAAGTTATGTTGGACTAAATTAACATCTCTTTTGACATAATTATTGGGACAATTTTAGTAAACTATTTACCAAGAGCACGGTGTGATATGTTTGTCAGCATGATTGAAAAATATGAGCTGGGTAACAAAGGAGTGATTCATATTTAGAAGACGGTTGAAAAGATTGTTGATTTATAAATCCATGTCACCCAAGTTTGGTAAAGACATATCAAGAATGGACTGAACTGCTTTTGGTTTTTTGTTTTGTTTTTGCTGGTTTTTGTTTTGTTTTTTTTTTTTTTTTTTAGTTTTCTTTCACTGGAGATGTTCAAATACAACTTGGAACTCAAGTTTCCACATATACTACAAAGGAAATTAATATACTTATGTAAAGTTAAAGGAAAACTAAGGTCCTTTAAGAAAAAGTCTAAAATTCAAAAACTAATCACTATCTCCATGGATCCAAAAAGTTGACAAAATTTAATATCTATTCTTCATTTATTAAAAGAAAATAAGAAAAAGCTTAGTAAACTAAGAGTAACAGACACATTTTTGACATAGCGAAGAAAACTGTTTTAGATAAAATCAACATAGGGAAATACCAGCGATGTTTCCGTTAACATAAGAAATCAAAGATGTTTGTAATTATCATTACTATTTTTTATAGCTAAAAACTTCAACAGTAAATAAAACATAACAAAA